CCCCTGCCCCGCAGGGGTTCGGGGGGGCAGCTGCTGTGCTGGGGGTGCCGCGGCCTCTCGCTGAGGGGACGAGCGGCGGTACAGCCCGGGGAGCACCGCCCTTGTTAACCAAGGGACGTTGCTGGATGTTGTAATTTGCTGCCAGAGAGGTTTCGGTAAAACCTCTGCAGTGGCACCTTGTAGGAGACAATTTAATCTGGGTTCTCGGCAGCTCATCTTTTCTCAGCGATGCAGCCCTCCCCAACTGAACAAAGAGAACCAAACCCCCAACAAACCCCAAGAACAACAATAAGAAACTCCCACCCTGAAATGGGGTAAATCAGTTAAAAGTTATTACTGTTTGAAAGAAAATCTCTCTCCTGCAGCAGCGCTCAGTATTTGTGGTTACTACCTTTTCTTCACGTAATAAAAACAAAGCCTAACTTTCCTGAGAAAAGTCTTGGGAAAATTTGTACAGCAATAGTCTCATACGTTTCAGTACGTTTATAAGAGAGAAGGAAGCTGTTTCAAGAGGTGCTTATAAAACCGGCATGTTAAAAAACCCACTAAGGGCCTTAAGGAAGCAAGTCTGTAGAAGACAAGGACCGTAAAACAAAGTAACTTGTAGGATGCATTTTAAAGTGTTTTTAAGAGTATCATTAATGTGAAAATACAGAATGTTAGTACTGACAAAACAGACCAAACACAAAACCTATCAGGAGGCACTGCTCTAGATTTGATTCTTGAAGGACCTTCTGTATCAAAGACAAACGTGCTTTCCTCCTCCTTTGAATAAAAAACAGGATTACTGCACTTCAGACAGATTTAGTTCTTTTGTTCTAAAAATGATGAGAAAGTCAGCCTTGTGACAAGCCAAATATAATTTACTTATTACTTTTCAACTACAATAAAATGTTCAGAAACTATACAAAGACTTTAGACAGTAAACATGTATTTAATAAACTGTAGTTCAGTTACACCGGATCCTTGAAGAAGGAGTTCCCAGTACAACTTCATTAATCTGCTTATATGACAGGACAGTTTCCAGTTAGACAGACACATTCACAACATTCAAACTCCTTTGGTCCATCACTAAACTCTTCTCCTTCATCTTGCAAATGTGGATGCCTTTGCCTGCCTCTTCAGCAGGCGTTTACCTAAGAGAAATTACAGTACAGTTAACGACAAGGCCTTTCTCTGGGAGATAAAATTACGTAAGAATTTTAAAATAAAATTGGTTTTAATTTAGCTAAATGAGGCATACTAAAGGCTAGCAAACTTCTATTCCTGAGAAGATTACACATTGCCATTATTACCCAAAGGCCTTCCCTGAAGCTTTTGCTGGCCTCATGTTTGGTCAAAAAGAAGAAGAAGAAAAAAAAAATCCATCTAAATGGGGGGTGAGGGTGAATCACAGGAATAAGCTTATCCTTTTTCTAAGGAACTGAAATACTGGCATATGTGCTTTTTGGAATATGCACTTTACAGGTATTAACCACCTGCACGAGTTTTTCTTCTTGTAACTTTTGTTATGGTAACAATGGGGACTGATTCATGAAAAAGAAGGATTGTTTACTTAAGTCCTAATGTAAATTAAACCACAGTATGGTTCTGTTCAGTGTTACATGAAAACTCCCACCAGCCAAACTGGTTAATGAAACAGAATTAAAGTTCAGGCATCTTTAAGAGACCATGGCTTTTTTTAATGGTTTCTGACCCTGTTATTAACCAATTCTGATTTTTATGCGACACTAGAATTGAAGATTTGCATAGCTATATCACTGTAACAGGAAAAAAAATCTTGTAACAACATTATTGATCTTCCTTCTTTTCTATTGATAAGTATCTAAACAAAAAACACTTACATGCCATGTGAAACCATTAGAAATGCAAACAAAGTTTAAATCACTACTGACAGGACTTAAAGTTAGCAGCCAAAAAAGATTAAAAGTTGTAAATAATTTTATCAGCTGTGTTCCAAAATCTTTGCTACACTTAGTATATCCACTTTATACAATTAAAAGTAGAAGCTCACCAATTCTGAGCCAACGCTCCCCTTCCTGCTTTTTCCCCCTTACTGAAAGTATCCAACCTCTTTGATTCTCTTTCTGTTTTGGTAACTTTTGCAAAAGGAGGACAAAACGCTCCATTCTACCTTAACCTTCAACTATCACCGTTATTAAAAAAAAAAGTTAAAAGCAGGATACAGCAAATTTGGAATTACCTTCCTCATCCACCCCCAGCCATTGGTGGTGGACTAGGGCCTCCACCCCAGTGATTTATTCGACCCATCCTACGGCGAGGAAGTGCTGGAGGCCTGACAAGAAAGCAAGGAAAACAACATCTATTCAATTGGCATTAAATTGTTAAACTAGAAATGGAATAATGCTGTCTCTAACTGATAGTAATTAGGAAGTTAGAACCTCTGCAAGTTTCATGTGTTGGGTTTCAGTGAAAAGCTGTTTAAAAAAAAAAAAAAAAAAGCCCTAACCCTACTCGCACCTTGCACAAAAATTCTCTTACGCAAACTGTTCTGGTTAGAGACAGCTACAGCTAACAGGCTTTTAAAACAGTAAGAAAAGAATCTGGCAAACCAGTAAGAACAAGAAACACAGTAACTACAGTATTTACAGAAATGACATCCTTGTAACAAAGTGTTTTGCTTTAGTTGTAGGTAGTCTAATCCAGGAAATGACTGATTTAATGTAAATCAAGTGCTGAGTATAAGCAAGGCTAACAAAGGAATTTCAACAAAGATGTATACTGTCTATAAGGCAGGTTTGAAAAATTATTTCAGTGAGAGTTAGCCTATACCGTTGTTATAGCTATCCAAAGCTACATACTTATCACTGAGTTTCACACAAAATACTGCAGATAAACAACATTTCAGTATTCTTACGTGATTTGTTTCAATGCAAATCACAACTGCAATCTGAATACATGATGTCATTTTGCTTAGACAGGAAAAAAAATCACAACTAGTGTGAATATGAAAAAATACCCTCTTCTGTCATTGTATCCTGAATAGGAAGAAGATGTGTAGCCTCTTCTTCTCAAATCTGGTTGAATAATGCTCTGGAAACTGAAAAATAAAACAGGAGTTAGGTGAACTGATTGCTAGGTATGTTCTGAATTTTTGGCTTGCAACGTAAGAAATGTCCTGAAAAACAGTGAGCAGTGTTCAGGAATGAACAGTGCATCTTCTCGAGATTATTGTCGTTTAATAAATCTTGGCATTTTTTCTCCTATGCATGAAGACAAAATCTGAAATAATTCCAAATTATAGTAAGGCTCAAACTATAAAATCAATTTTTCTGGTAAATAAAGTGCAAGAAATGCATGCAGTATAAACTTGTACCTGAAATACTGAAGGACTGTTCAACAAATCAAAAGAACTTTTTGTTTCTTAACTGGCTTTGATCTGGGGCCATAAATTTGTGATTACTGCTCTGTGATTACTTTTACATAGCCATAATCTACCATCACCAGTAGACATTATCCAAATAATATCTCAATTATTTGATCAGCTATTAGAAACTAGCTGTTTAACAAAAGTATACATGGGGTTTTTTTCAGTAGTAAGTTAGCATCACTTTTCATACACTCTTCTTTTTATTAAATATGTATCATAGTGCTTAGTAACCACAGCCATGTAGTCATAGTAAAACATTAAAAAATGTTTTGGGGACAGTGATATGGAATGCTAACGAGTAACATTTTATTGTTGTGTTACTGACAGCACCAACTAGCTTCTCCCTGTAACAAATCTAAAATAAAGCTCATCAAAATAATTGCTACTTACAACAGAACCACAAAATCTGCTATCGACCAGAAGAAATCTGTTATAGATGACAAACGCCAAGGAGCCCGACTCTGGTTATCCAAAACTTGCCCTATAACATATCAAGATACAAAACACCCAGTGGTGTTTATTTAGTCATCTGACACTGCACATTACACAAACACATCTGCCGAGTCCAGGATTTGCAAACAGATGGAGAAAAGTACACTTCATGGGCCACGGTAGCAAGCTGCATTGCCTACGGGGGACTTTGCCCAAGTACTTGATTGGATCAGAACCACCAGACGCCCTGCCCAGCTAAACCTACAAAAAAATACCAGTACAGTCTCTGTTTCCCTACGTGTGCTTAAGCTGCTTCTCTGTTACGCTCCCGATGTACGCAGAACACACGTCGACCCTGCCGAGC